TATTTTTATTCATTCATATGTTGATGGACACCTAGGCTTGTTCCATATTCTTGGCTGTTGTGAATAATGCTGAAATAAACATGGGTATGGAGGGCTCTCTAAGGTCTATTTCATTATTACTTATTTTGTTTATTAAACTTGTTCTTCGACAATTTCATACATGCAGGCATGATGCTCTCACCCCCAACCCTCTCCCTGCTTCCTACGCCCTGTGTCTGTGGTCCCCTTCCCTACAAAACTTTCTCTCACCGTCACGTTTTTTTGTGACCCACTGATTTTAGCCACATTGTCTGTGTGACCATGGGTTTGGAGCTATCCATTGGAGCTCAACAGTGGGAAGACAACTACAGTAGTGACTCCTCCCCCTCCCCGAATCTGTTAGTAGCTAACAGTTTAGCTGTAAGAGGTGGGCCAGCTGAGCCTGCCCATCATTCCACGATTGACTGTTGACAGGTCCATCCCGCCAGACAGCGCAGAGAGCTGTGGTCGCCTGAGTTCAAGTGTGTAAGTGGTGCGCCTAGGCGAGAGGAGCGCATTTCACAGCCCTTCACCTTACGCTCTCTTATATGCTTCCTGTTCCTGATTTCTCTTCTGCAACGTTTCTCGGGCCTCAGTGGGGTTGTAAATGTCTTGTTTAGGGCCGAGCCCTCAATTTCCACCTGTTCTCAGTGTCCTGGGCAGCCAGGATTCTCTGAATGCACTGACGTTCGCTGCAGAGAGGCTTCTCTGGTTAAGTCTGAGAGTTGCTTTTGTCTGAGGTATAAACAGATTTAGAAGGCAGTTGCTGCTACGCCACCTTAGTTAAACAACAGTAGCAAGTGCCCCATTTGACCTATGACCTCCCAGGTGAGGGTTGTTAACCAGGTTTACAGTACCAGACATTGGCGCCTGCTCATGGAGCACAACTCGGATCCAATCAGAGGGCGGGTGGCTTCTTCCACAACGGTTCTGCCTGCTTTCTCTATGCAATGAAAGGAGATGTTTTGTGCAATGGGTCTTATCTTCTGGTAGTGGTGGCGCACGCCTTTGATCCCAGCACTTGGGAGGCAGAGGCAGGCGGATCTCTGTGAGTTCGAGGCCAGCCTGGGCTACAGAGTGAGTTCCAGGACAGCCAGAGCGACACAGAGAAAACCTGTCTCAACAACACAAAACAAACAACAAACAAAAATGGAGCCAAATTAATAGTGAAAATCAGAAAAAGATTTATTCAAGGTGAGCACATTGAGAAGAGGGACACAGAGATTCAGAGCTTCCCCAAGGACCCCAAGTCCATCTTTTAGGTCTTAACATGGGGGAGAGAGCTTAAATAGAAGGCAAGAGAACCACATACTTCCGTAGTGCGGGTCAAGCGTGGTTCCATCGCTGCCCTGCGTCTCAGTTCCATTCTCTCCTGTAGGTGACCGGGCATGTTGTTGGGCTGTGTGAAGCCCTCTCCTCTTCTCTGGCTGGCACCAGGCTCCAGCCTTTTCCTTCTCTAGTGTGGGAGTCCTGGGGTGGGGAAATTCTAGTTCACTAGGGTCCTTTGTTTTAAGATGTCAGCCAGCCAGAAAGGCTCCAAAGGACATCTCCTCATTCCTTCAGGCATGCCAGTTTCAGTGTTTAATAGGAATGCAGAAGTCTGGTGCTCGAAGCTGACCCCCAGAGGAAAGATACAGAAGGCTTCTATTCCCCATCCATTAGAGGAATGGACCCATGGACAATGAACTCTGCCAAGCTTGGAATGGATGGGAATTATCTGTCTCAAAAACTCAATTATGTTCGGTTTCAAAATGGTGGACTTTAAAGGCTCCATTTTCTTCTTCCTGGACTTATATAAAAAGCTGTCTTAAAGACAATCTGGGACCTAAGGTCCCGTTCCTCAGAAGCAAGGAGCAGTTGGCCTATGTGACAGTTGAATGTTCATCCACTGTAGCCATTGTCACATGGTTTTCTGTAAACTGAAGGAAGATCATAGGTAAGGAGGGTAGGAAAGGAGATTGCTTCCACCACTTTGCCCTAACTGTAAATAAATATGTGTGTATGTGTATGCTCATGTGTATGCAGGGGTACATGTGTGCATTTGGGGATCCTGTACCCTTGTCTTGGGTATGTGTGTTCTCTTTCCTCCATCCCTTCTATCTCTTCTTCCCCCCCCTCCCTCCCTCCTTTCCTCCCTCTCCCCCTTCCTACCTTTCCTTCCTTCGTCTTTCTCATATGTTTTGAGACAGGATCTCATATAGCCCAGGCTGGCCTTGAACTTGCTTTGGTTTTTGAAGGGACTCTGGCCAGCTCAAGTGTGGTGGGCATGGCTCTGGCAGGCCTTGCCCTTCTCCCCAGTTCCCTCTGTTTTGCTAAACTGATAGAGTGCATTCCTAAAGCTAGCCGCCAAGGTCTAGTCCCTCATTTGGTCCCTTCCTCCTCCTGAGGCCGACGACCAAGGTCCAGCTATCAAAGTATTGAAGTCCAGCAATAAAAATTGCCCTTTGGCTCACCTAATTAACATGCCCAGTTAAAATTAAACACCCCATTCTAACACCGGGTTTCCCCTTTGCCTTTATAAACTGCCATTTTCCTATGGGCCACGTCTGTCTCCTCTCTATCCAGAGGCAGTCCTTTGTCCTCTGGACACATACCTTTTCCCCTCTCTCTTGTTCCCTTCCCCCCTCCCTCTTCCTCTGTCCTGTCTTTGTCCCTTATTCCTGCCCACTGTCCCTCTGGGGCAAATAAGTCTCTTTTGACTTGGTCTGAGAACTTGGTCATAGAGGTCCTTAGCCGACACTTTTCCTTTCAGTTTTGAGACAGGGGCTCATGTAGCTCAGGCTGGCCTTGGACTTGCTCTGCAGCTGAGGCTGATCTTAAACTCCTGACCTTCTAATGCCTTCTTGCCTAATTAAGAGAAGCACAACCATGCCTAGCTGTATGTTAATTTCAAAGATGGGAGGAGAAAAATAAGCAACCTAAATCATCATGGCCAAATTAATTATTAAAGCAAGCTTTTTTATTCGTGTACACAGGCTGCCTCCTGCTAAGGCGGGATTCTAGAGGTCAGCATTGGATGTGCGGAAGATATTGGTTAAAATATTAAGGCCACTCCACGTAGTTAAAAGGGAGGTTTATTTTGTGGGGTAACTTACAAGTGAAGGGATAGGTTACAGGGTCTGGGAAAGGCGTAACGCAGTCCAGCGGTGTTCTCTGGAGAACTCTGCTCGGTCTACCTCCAGCGTCCAGGGTCCAGGAACCAAGAGAGCTGCGCATCTGGATCTCGGGTCTTTAGGGGTCCTCTCTCGGCCCCCGCCTTGTAGGCGTGACAGTTACCAAAGCCTCAATGGGGGTGGTACTTCCAGATCAAAGCTGGAACGGCTACCCACTACAGGAAGACAAGGTTTTTATAAAGCTCAGGGGTAGGGGGTTTCCAAAAGGGGGATTTAATGGGAAAAGTAGGCGGGGTTACAGGAGCAGAAGAAAAGCATAACAAGTGAGGCCTAATGACCTCCTGAAACAGAGACATGGTCGTCAGGTGGGCGTAACAACAGGTAGTCATAACACGGTAGTCCTAGGCAGTCATATAACCTTTTGAAACAAAGATAGGGTACAGGATGGTTTTAACTTTTTTAAACAAAGACACGGTTGCCTTTTCCTGGAACCGGCAGTACAGAACCATTTGTAGTTAAGGTCACAGGTGGGACATAACCCAATCCTTGAGAAACAGATTTAATCATTAACAAGAATGAGCCTAGTTTATCTTTACTATAAGATGGCCTTTAGGCCTAAGATGGAGGCAGGGTGGTTCTTCACTGTACTGCTCCTTTCTTAATCTTTCTAAATACTCATGCTTACTTGGATCATGTGCTATCTCTTAATTCTGCTTAATAAACTCACTCATGGAATAGTGGGGAGAAGTTGGGTGGGAAGGGGGCAGAGAAAAAAAAAAGCAGACAGCTGGGTGGTGGTGGCGCACGCCTTTAATTCATAACTTTCCAGGCAGAGGCAGGCGGATCTCTGAGTTGGAAGTCAACCTGGTCTACAGAGGGAGTTCTAGGACAGCCAGGGTTACACAGAGAAACCCTGTCTCAAGAAAGAAAACCGATTTAGCTCAGTGGTAGAGCGCTTGCCTAGTAAGTGCAAGGCCCTGGGTTCGGTCCTCAGCTCCAGAAAAAATACATTAAAAAAAAGAAAGAAAGAAAGAAACCAAACCAAATAAACAAACACCTCTCCCACCTCAAAAAAACCTTGAATCCAAAACACCACTCACCTCGCTCACCACAGAGTTTAGTTTCCTACGGATTTTTAGAGGAAAGGAGATTTTATTTTTCCAAAGAAGCCAGAGTCATCCATGAGCAGGGGCCCCGTTTTCAGGATGTAAGAAACATAATTAACGTCCTCATTGCGGCAACGTAGGCCGGGTTTGGAGCCAGGAAAACTGGCAGGTGGAACGGGGAGAGAAATGGGAGCTTTGAAAGTGGAGAGCTGCAAGGCAGTGTGCCTCCTGATCAGAATGGCTCAGCTGCTTTCAGAATGAGACACTTCAGGATGGGACAAGGCTGGTTCTCTAGATCGGGTTGTAGGGGAGGGCGTGGTAGAGAGGCATTCTACCTCCAGGGAATCTGGGCTGAGCTGCAGCAGGAGGCTCAGGGCCCTGGTGGTATCATTACTTTTCAGGAGTGTATTCAGTTGGGAAATGTATGACTTTTCCCAGGTAAATATTGCTTTCAGTGATTCTCTCTCTAAAATCAAATTGGTTAGACAAGTTGCTGGTGATCCCCCCCGCCCCCCCCCCCCCCCAACACACACACACAGAATCTAGCTGCACTAGTGTCTTAAGGTGCTATCTAATTCAAATTAATGCCCATCAACAACGCTGCTGGGTATCAACTGCTGTTGCTGATGAATCGACCTCCCAATGACCTAACTAGATAATCTACCACACTAGGTGCTTTTTCTATCTCGAGTTTTTGAGCTTTAATGAACCAGTCCTTTTAAAATGACGTGATAGGAACTGCTTCTGTTTGGCTGTACGTCAATCACTCTTCCTCCTCTTCCTCTCCCCCCTCCCCCACCCCCTCCCCCTCCTCCATGGTTTCCACGATGAGCTCGGCAGTGCAGGTGGCTTCTCCCAGGCTGTTGACAGCCTTGCAGGTGTACTTGGCGTCATCATCCCCGCAAACATCGCTGATGACCAGAGAACAGTTCCCCTCTTAGTCATAGTCTATCTGGAAGTGGCGGGACTCCCTGATGGACTGGTCGTCCTTGAACCAGACGACCTCGGGGTCTGGGTGACCTTCAGTCCTGCAGTCAAATCTAGCTGCACTTCCCGCCACAACTTCCAGATCACGAATGGTCTTAGAGAAATAGGGCTTTACATGGGGCTTTTCCTCAGCAACAGCCTCGAGGAAAGCCTGGGAGACATCTTCTTTGGACTCTAGTTTCTCTGCATTGATTGGGCTGGTCGGTGACCCTGTCGAGGATTTCCTGCCACTGAGCCCTGATACCATTGCCATAGAGGACAGTCTTCCGATGGCTCTCACAGCATTGCCCGTTTTCTGCCACTTCCTTCTTGCCATGTACTTCTTCATCCGGTCCTTGGACAGCTTCTTGGCCTCCATGTTCTTGGTGTCCTTCATCAGCCATGGGTGCTGAAGGCATTGGGTGCAGTCCAGATGGTTTTTCATATCTTTCTTCAGCAAGTTACTGATGAAATCCTTGGCATCATCAGAGATCTCATCGAACGCCTCATCATCAAAGTCCCAGGTGGCCGAAGTCACGTTGGCTAAGGTCTCATTGTCATTGTCGCCCATGAAGGGGGACAGTCCGCTGACCAGAATGTAGCAGATGACCCCGATGTCCCACATGTCTGTGGCATAGCCGATGGGCTCATAGTTGATCACTTCAGGAGCCACAAACTCTGGGGTCCCAAAGAGGACCTTCAGAGACCCAGCATTCTCTAGTCTTCCTGCCAGCCTGAAGTCAATGAGCTTGATCCTGGTGCCTGTCTTGTTGACACACATGATGTTCTCGGGCTTGAGGTCCAGATAGATGCACAACGCCCTGCTTGTGGATGTACTCCACCTCTTCCGAAATCTGCCTCATGTACTTGATGCACTCACGCTCCGTCAGCTCGAAGTCCTCGTCGATGATGCGCTCAAACAGCTCACCCCCGGATACGATCTCCAGGACCATGATGATGTTGGCCTTTTCTTCGAAGGCATCCACACACTGGACCAGCTTGGGGTGGTGGAGGCAGTTCATGATGCTGATTTCCTGGCGGATGTTCTCTTTCTCCTTGGCAGAATAGGCCTTGAAAAACTTCCCTGCCCAGATTTTTCTAGTTTTCTTTTCTAGTCGGAAGACTTGTCCAAACTTTCCAGATCCCAGTCGTGTGACTCGTCCTGGAACTCTTTTCTGTGGCACAGAAGTGCCTGGCTTTACCTGACAGAAGTCCCTAAGTGGGGGACACCTCAGGCTACTCTGAGGGAGGGCACTTGGTACATCTTGCTGAGCTGTAACTCTGAGGGACTTTAAGCTCACCTCACGCTGAAAATGGACCCTTGTAATTTACTTCTTGCATCTTCTTACACTTTTCTGAGGATGAGGGCAGTTTCAGAGTAATAAGCCAGGCTCTCTGATTCTCAGGCAGGAGGCAGGGAGGGGGGGGTAAGGAGCAGGATGTGTCCCCACCAATCCCCACTGTTCCATGTGAGAAGTCCTAGCACTTGGAAGTCTGTTAGCTAGAGAGTCGCCGATGTCTCAGCATGGAGCCCGTCCTGTCCGTGAGTGGGAAGGGCTGCTTCAGGTATGGTGGCCTGAGCAGCAGCCTCGATTCTAACATTACTTTCTTATACATACCCTGGTCCTGGGCCAGATGAAAGAGTACATGGCTTGTCTGGGAAGACACCATCTTCCAGCCAATCCTAAGCCACTCCATGCCTCAGAACCGCTTCAGATGCTGCTGAGATGAATTAGCCCTAGGATGGCACCCAGGGAGATGATATCTTTAATTAGCACATTGGGTTCCAAAACACATTTAGCAGGCCAGTTCTTTGCTTGATAAGGCCCTTATTTTCTCTCTATGGAAACCGAGACTTTCCAGTTGCTTCCTCACCCCGTCTCCAACTGAGTGCCTTGGTAAAGGTGGCAGTTGCATACACAAGGAATGTGGATGGCCACCCTCTGCGAGCGGTCGTAAGACAATGGGCTTGCAGCTTCCTCAAATTTCTAAGGAGGTACTCTCAGGAAACTGGTGTCCAAGGTTTTTCCTAGTTGTTCTTTTCCTTTTTCCTTTTAGACACACAACTGAACACAGGAGCCTCAATATAAAACTTAAAGAAACAAAGCAAAGCAATAAAAATAGCCAAGTTGTCCCAAACACCCTGAGTTAATATGATTATGTTCTCTCAGTTCCCTGTTAGTCTGTGCTCATAGCAAGTATTGGTTTCTCACGGTTGTTTCTGTGCCATTTTGTCTGTTGGTTTAGCTGTTAACCTGTACCTGTGAGTTGGCATTCTTGTTTTGTGTGTGAGACTGTAAGATGAAGGCTGGTTCTTTTTTCTTTCTTTCTTCTTTCCTTTCAGCCTAACTACTTGGTTCCCGGCCTGCCCTTCTATGCTTCTTTTAAGAAAACTGGCTGTTCGCTGGGTGTGGTGGTTTATGTCTTTAATCCCAGCACTGGCAAGGAGATCTGGGAGTCAGAGGCCAGCCTAGTCTACAGAGTGAGTTCTAGGACAGCCATAGGGCTACACAGCCAGAGAAACCCCGTGCCAAAAATTTATGGAAGAAGAAGAAGAGGAGGGGGAGGAAGAAGAAAAGAAAGAAAGAAAGGAAAGGAAAGGAAAGGAAAGGAAAGAAAGAAAGAAAGAAAGAAAGAAAGAAAGAAAGAAAGAAAGAAAGAAAAGAAAGAAAGAAAGAAAACTGGCTATTCAAAGTTGATCCAGTCCTAGCTAAATCCAGACATACAAGGATTATTTATCAAACTGGCTTGGAACTAAGGACTTAGGAGGCAGAAGCAGGAGCATCAGAAGGCAAAGGCCATCCTCGGTTGCCCAGTGACTTTGAGGCCACCCTGGGCTGCATGTACCCGCCTGTCAAGCAGCAGCAACCTCAGCCACAGAACGAGACAGCCATGGCAACAGCAAAAAGCTTCAGAGGAAACATCAAGGGGGCAGGGCAGAGCAGCTGCATCCTGGGGTCCAGTTTGCGCTTTTCTCTGGCTGAGTCAGAAGTGCAACCCGTACAACTGAGACTGGGCGCGGAGATGATGCATGGTTTCTGCAAGAACTCTCAAACATGGCTGTTCACCACAGTAAAGGAACTGCGCTTCCTCAGAGCCTTAGCTATGGCTGCATCACCAAGCCTTCCTTTCTTCCTTCCTTTCTCCCTCCCTCCCTCCCTCCCTCCCTCCCTCCCTCCCTCCCTTCCTTCCTTCCTTCCTTTTCTGTGTAGCTTTGGAGCTTGCTCTGTAGACCAGGCTGGCCTCGAACTCACAGAGATCCACCTGCCTCTGCCTCCCCAGTGCTGGGATTAAAGGCGTGCGCCACCACCGCCTGGCTTCACCAAGCCTTTCTTATCTCTAACAATGTTTCCCTTGTAGAACCACTTTAAAACATCTCATTTATAAAGGAAATTCTTCAAGAAAAGTGAAACAGCTAATGGGTAAACTTGATTTTCACCTTGCTTAGTCTTTACGTCTTGTGAGTTACCTCCTTTGAGCAGAGCAATCTGAAAAAGATTGTATGATTCTGTAATCATGCATCAGCAATTGCAGAGACAACTGGGAGGGATGCCTCTCTTGAGAAGCTTGTATTCATCATGTCTTATATGTGTATTTTCTCTCTATCTCCCTTTCCCTCTGTCTCTCTCTCCCCTTTCCTCCCTCCCTGCTTCCCTCCATGTTTAAATCTGTCCTCCAGATTAAATAAATCCCTCCATGTTCACTGTCCCCTATTAACTTTTTTTAAATGCTTTATTTTTATTTTATGTGCATTGATTTACCTGAATGTGTAAGGGTGTTGGATCTCCTGGAACTGGAGTTACATACAATTGTGAACTGTCATGTGGGTGCTGGGAATTGAACCCGGGTCCTCTAGAAGAGCAGCCAGTGCTCGTAACGGCTGAGCCACCTCTCCAGGCCCCCATCAAGTTCTTAACAAGCTAGCTGACTTGTGTCACTTTGTCTTGTCCTGAAAGTAGTCAAGGATGTGGCTTTATCTGAATGGAGGTCCCTAAGGTCCCTAACTCCTCAGGCTACTGGCCGTAGTGCTGGGCTTCATCTGCCAACTACTGTGGACGCTATCAGAATGGTTAAACTAAAAAACAGTGACATCAACAAATGCTGGAAGGATGCTGGTGACCAAATGGCATATCCATGGCTACTGGGAATGTAAAACAGTGTTGTCAAGTGTGGAAAAGAATTTGACACTTCTTAAAAAAAATTAAGCATGTAGCTATATATCACCTAGCAATTTTACTCTAGGCATCTATCCCAGAAAAAAAAATCCATGCAGAAAAATCACATAATTTTAAGTAGTAGTTTTATTTGTAATCAATAAAAAATGGATAATAACTCAAGAGATGGCTAAACAAATACATTCATCCTATGGAATACTACTCAACAATAAAAAGGAATAAACTATTGATATTACTCAACAATCATAAAACACCTCCAAACATTTATACTAGTGTGTGTGGTGGAACTAATATCCATTTATATAACATGTTGATACAAAAACGCAGATCTAGCCTCAAAGGGAATAAAAGTTTATTCTGGAGCCAAATTTGAGTGACCATGACATGGAAAACACAGAGCTAGGTTACCCCAGTTCCCATGTTCCCACACGAAAGCAGTTTCATAGTAGCAGAACCAAAACAAAGTCATAAATCAAGGCAGTTTTAAAATACAGTGGTGGGTGCATTAGAGAGTTGGCTAAAGCAAGATGGGGGTCTTTCCCATAGGTCTCAGACGCTGTCTGATGACAAGCCCAGCTTTCGGGGAAGTGGAAGCTAGTGGTGGTCTCTTACGTATAAGTTCCAAACGTTTTATCTGTTAACCACAGGACTTAAAGTCCTACATAGGAGTGGGCAAGGAAATGATTATTTACAGGGCTAAAGCTAGCCCAAATAAGGTATAATTCAGCTCTGGATCTGCAATATTTCAGGCTCTCCATATCACTATGGTTCCAATCAGTTAATCAGTCTCTGCAACATCTTTCTAGGAAATCTCGTTCACAGACACTTTTGAAGTGACAAAATTATAGATATGGAAATCAGATGGGTGGATGTCAAGAATTAGGGAAGGAGGGGAGGTGGAGGAGCAAGGACAAACGAGGCATTCTTCTGTGGAGGAAATGCTCTGAAATTTGTACTATAGTTTTGCCAAACGTTGTACTGGGAACATAAGATGTTTCTGGCATCTTTATTTTTCTTATAAATGAACACATGAGTCTATAAAGGCCTCTAAAGGATGATGAAAAACCTAAATGAATGAGATTATTCATTTTACCTAAATCTAAATATTGACTAGATTTTTAGAAAGTTTCCAAATTTGATGATAATTTTACCAGGGTTATGTAAAACATTTTATTTGGGTCTAGGAGATACACAGCGAATTATTCAAAACTGAAGAATCTTGACTCTGTAATTCACTACTAAATAGTCCACGAAAAAGGAAAAAAACAATATATAGATTTGTGTGTGGTGTGTTTGTATGTGTATGTTCAAGGCTGATAAACAATTAGACAAATTAGACAGTTGTACCCAAAATAGTGCTAATAATGAGTGAACGTCATGTGGGGGTCATTGAAATACTTCTGTCTTCCTTTGTGTGTAAAATCCACTTTCCAAAATAAGACATTTAGTAATAAGTTTGAAGGGCCCTCCAGTGAGGCAATCCATCGGCAGAGGGCAGATAATGACTGGGCAGGTAACAGACACTTTCCTTTCCTCTCAGTTTGTTATTCTGTCTTCTGAGCCTTCAGCTGGGAAAATGAAACTTATGGTTGTGTGTGTCTGCTTCAAGCCAGCACCACTCCCCTTCTCAGGGGGAATGTTTACAGCCTTAAAAAAGCTTATTATTTATTCTTGACTATATGCAGACTACAGAGAAATCTAGAGTACAAGACCATCAAAATGCAGAGAGGAAACTAGGGAAGAGCTGTGGAGACGTAGTCACACGAGACAACATACATTGGCTTAGAAATGAGCGTGGTAAGGGATTACTAAAACTTCATTGGCCATTGCTTTCTTGAAAACAACGGACTTTCTTACTCCTTGCTGCACGGTCTACCCTTCTATGAGCATTGCTGTCCTGGCCTCTGACATGACTTGTCTCTGAAGTAGGTAACCTTCCCCCGTCAGGGAGGGGACTGCTTCATCCCACCAAGTCAGTCAACAATTTCTTCTGTGACCAAGTTTTTGAGTGAGGTGGTTAGGCATGGCCTCTTGTTTCATAACTCAAATTTATAAAAGGGCAAAAAGTAAGATATCCTGCCAATGAGAATTCTGGCAACACTGAAATTACCCCAAGTAGGCAGAAATGGATAAGCCACGGGAAAAGCTCCTGGGGTCCCAAACTCACTTTTGGAACAAGTATTATGTGGCTTGAACTTAAATTCTTTCCTGTTTGGCATTAAAAAAGCATCTAAAAAGTATAATTTTATTATCAGTCTTCAGGAAAAGAAATGCTACCCCATAATTTTATTTTATATTTAAAAATTTGAAACAATATAAAGCCTACGGGAAGCTGTAGTACAAAGAACTTACATTTTTTTTGTGCCACATAAAGGTAAATTATCTCTCTCCCTTTCCTTTCTTATTTTTCCTTTCCTTTCTTTTTTTTGAGGCACAGTCTAACTCTGTAGACCAGACTGGCCTTTATTTAACTTGAAGCAATCCTCCTACCTCTGCTTCCCAGGTGTTGGGATTACAGATGTGTGCCACCACACCCAGCAAGAGCATGCTTCCCACATGATGTTTCTTCCCCCTTAATGCTTTAGTATGAAATATTACCACTCAGATTTTACCAGTTGTCTCAATAACGTCCTTCACAGCAGAAAGACCTAGTTTAGGGCCTGTTGCTGATCTTTACTGCTGTGGTCCCTGCCAGTCTGGGACTGTTCTTCACGTCTTTGATTTTCAAGAAAGACCTTGATGAAGGCCATGTCTTTAATGAGGACAGTTAGCTGATTTGCAAAACATCTGTCACTCGGGATGACCCAGATGTTTCTTTGGAAGCAGTCAGGCCACAGGTCTGTGACAAGAGAAGGGAGCTGTGTGCCTTTCGTTCATTACATCCTGTTACAGTCTGTTACTTGGTGTGACGGCTACTGTGCAGACACCAGTGATGTCCCTTGCTGCTGGAAGGACATTTCTTTCTGACCACTTTGTTAGTGTTTACATTAATTAGATTATTTGCAGCTACCATGTAACATTACATGTAGAATATTACCAGCAATAGTTGTGTAACTATCAAAGCCACCTCTCCCTTGAGGCTTACTCAGCTGTTCGCTTGTATTGGTGCAGACGACAGTTTTCCGTTAATTTTAGTGATTACAATGTTATTACCGTATCTATTTTTCCAAAGTTTAGTTTGCCCCAGACTTGGCCAGTGGGAGGACCTGTGTCCATTAGACACATTCCCTCCCATTCCTTGAGCATTATTTTGAGGCAGAAAAGGGCCCTGCTTAGGTTCCTCCGTGCTTTTCTTTGCCCCAATTCTGGAAGCACCATTTTTCTAAGCAGCTCTGGTTTCTTTTGTTTCAAGAACAACTGTGTGCTAGCTATTCCTCTGGAGTGTCTCCAATCCACGTCCCCACAGTGGGCTGAGCTAGGGAGTGTACGCACACACATCCACGCACACCTCTCTAACTGCTCATCAAAAACCATGGATCCATGCAGACTCAGCTGCCGGGCTTGGTTTCCATTCTTCCACTCTGCTCCCGGGCATTTTCAAACTTGTTGCCAGTTCTAAACTGTTGTGGATTTGCTCACTGAATGCTGCTTCTGGGTCTAACTGGTGCTTTACCTCAACCAGCATCTTCTTACATGGACACATTCCCCACCCTGCCTGTGCCTTCTCACCACACAGAACCCCACTCCAGTCCTCCAGGCTCCGAGGCCCAGGCAAGCTGGACCTGTTCTGTGTATGGGTGCATTCCTCAACTAGAGCAGTTTCTGACACCTGCGGTAAGCAGCCCTCCTATGGTGACACTCTCCCACACCCTGCCCTGGGCCCCCGGGGAGTTCCACTGTGGGGATGCCTTCCTTGCTCAGTCTACCTCCTTGTTCTAGCCCTGAACTGTGCTGGAAGGTAAGGAGAGAACAGGGATAGGAGAGGAAAGAGCCCCAATAGGAATCATAGTGAGTTCT